TAGTTTTGTAATCGATCTATGAGTATGTCATGATCTATAGTGTCGAACGCAGCACTAAGATCAAGCAAAACTAGCAATGAGATACAGCCTTGGTCTGACGCAAGAAGCAAGTCATTTGTAATTTTAACAAGTGCAGTTTCTGTGCTATGGTGGGGCCTAAAACCTGACTGAAATTCTTCATAGAGATCATTGATCTCTATGAAATTATATACTGTATTATAATAATTAAGATAATAATTATTATAATAGTCACACTACTCACACACTAATGATAATTATAATAATTAAGATAATGAAAATACACTACTGTTTAAAAGTTTGGGGTCAGGAATTTATTTATTAACTTTTTTAAAAGAAATGAATATTTTTATTTAGCAAGGATGTCATGTCAAAAGTGGCAGTAAAGACATTTATCATTTTTTTAAATAAATAAATTCTGTTCTTTTCTGTCCTTCAAAGAATAATAATAGAAAAATATTTCCACAAAAGCATTAAGCAGCACAATCATTTTTAATATTGATAATAAGAAATCTTTCTTGAGCACCAAATCAGCACATTAAAATGGTTTTAAAAATGTATGAAATAATATTTTATATATAAATTTTTTTTGGTGTCACCTAATCTATTAATGAGTATTCAAAAATATTTACATACCTGTTTTGATTTTTAAATTCAATATATTTTTATTTATGATTAGTGGAATAGCTTGAAGTTTGTTTGAGATACATTATATCATTCCTTGTGTAAATATAAAAATGTTTATTAAAGGTTTATACAGTATTTCTGTGATGCATCAGGTCCTCAGTGTGTAGCCCGCAGAACATACAGCATTTCCACAGAAAGCAGTGATCAGCTCTTTGTGGCTGTGGAAGGTAAATATAAGAGACAGGATGTGTGTCGTTCTGTAAATGGTCATATCGTGAAACAGTCTTTAAGATGATTGTATACATTGTCAAAGCCACCAAAGCAGCCACATGTAAACTTTGAACACAACTGTGTCACAAAACCTCTTTTTGTGTTCCTGTCTCTGTTAGAGAGCTCATGCATGTGTATGCAGTGCTGCGGTCCAGCTCGATCTTGTTCACTACAAGGCTTTGATAAGGACGCAGAGTGCGTCTTTCTGTTTGAGAGGCCCCTGAGAGCGGAGATGTGCTGGCTTGGCTGCTGCCTGATGGAAATAAGGGCCTATACACCAGAGAGAGAGCTGATTGGGACAGTTCACCAAAGGTAGAGATCAACAGCAAACTCAGTCTCATGCAGCTAGAATATTAATCCACACTGTAAGAATCAACCACTCAGACAGGAAACAGCCATCTGATTGACATGTAAAACAATTAACTGTGGTTTTACATTATATTTAGGGAGTTTGAATATGCAAACATCCCAGTGTTATAAAAAAAATATCAGCACACTTGTCTGGGTCCCATGTTATTTTAGTATCAATTATAAATACAATATGATTACCGTATATTGTATTATATTTTTTTATTTAGTTTTTAAAGTTTAGTTTATAGTTTTTTTTTTTACTTACATTTTTCATTTTCATTTTAGCTAAAGCTTGTTGTGTGTTTTTGTCATTTTTATTAGTTTTTGTTTACCCGAAACATACGTAGATTTTTTTTTATTTCACTAAAAGAGAATTGTTGCTTAGGGAACTAGCTACAAAACAATACTCTCATAGTTTTTTAATATTTTGAAGTAGTTTTTTATAATTATTTTCTGTTTTCATTTTAATTTTAGTAAAAAAAAATATATTATTTTATAAATTTGTATAATTTTTTTAAAATGTCTAAATAGGTTTTATAATTTTTTTTATTTTGGTTTTAGTTTTAGTTATTTTAGTATATCAAGTTAAACTAAATGAAAACTAGAAATGTTGTCTTTTTTTTAGTAATTAGTTGTAGTAACTCTTTGTTTTTTTTCTTTCTTTTTTAGTTTTTGTTTATTTGACTATATTTTTATTAGTTTTTTATTTCAGTTTTAGTTTTAGTTTTAGTTATTTTACTATATCAAGGTAATCTACATAAAAATGAGAAAGGTTGCCTTGGAAACTAGCCAAAATTAAATGTTTTTTTTATTTTAATTTTATTTATTTGTTTGTTTGTTTGTTTGTTTATTTTTCTGAACTTTTATTTTATTTCAAGGAACAACAATGTTAAAAAACAATGTTTTTTTTATTATTGAAAGTAAACAAAACACAAACAAACAAACAAAAAACAATGTTTTTATGGTTTTAATTTTATTTAACTGCTGTATAATAGCCCTGGTCCAATCAAATTATTTGACCGGATCTAACTGTTGCCTAATGGATGAAGTAATCTCCTGTACTGTAAATCTATTATGAAGACAGAGCCATCCACATCGTGTTTCATCATGATGTTAACTATTCTGTCAGATAAGGTCACCATTGTGTATCTACTAACTGCGCCACACAAAAAAACCCTCCAGTAATCTCTCTCAGATTGAACAGGGAGAGACGTGGTGAACTTTCTGAGATGAAACCATCATGAACAAAGACCATGCCATGTTTGTTTGTTGTCACACACCGAGCCTTTCAGCATCAGGTCATATCAGGCTAAAATAATATCAGTCACACACAAATGAACATTCTCTAGGCTCAGAGAAAACTCTTCTTATGCAATCTTCTAAAACCAAAAGAGTGTATGCATAAGCCCTGAGGTGTTTATCAGGTGGAGCATGTTCACGCCGTATTTCGAGGTCTGTGACTCCGAGGGCATCTCGGCCGTGAGGATCCAGGGCTCCTGCTGCAACACTCGCTGCCTCTCTGAGCAGGAGCTGCAGGTCAGAAACCCTCCAGCAGGCCATTTGTATCGCCCACCTTTTACATGCAGTTCTAATATACTCTGTTCTAATTATTCTCATGTATTGGGGGCATCAGCTGGTTTCCAGTATCGGTGAGAGTATTGGGCGCATATGGAAAAGGTGGCCTGGATATAATGAGGAATGTAACATGGATCATGAGTATTTTGGACTGGATGGTAAGATTAATATACACGTTCATATCAAGTGGTCTACAACAACATAACAATAAGTGACCTATCTATATAAATTATTACATAAAAATATTTTTAAAATATATATATAATTTTTCAGCATTATTTAATAGAAAAGAAAGTTCAAAAGAAGTACATTAGAAATACATTTTTGTAACATTCTACATTTTACTGTCACTTTTGATCAATTTAATGCATTATTGCCAAACAATTTTTTTCATTCATTCATTCAATTCAATTCATTCAAAAAAAAAAACAAAAAAAAAAAAAAAAAATTTAAACCATTTAAATTGATCAAAAAGCATTAAATTGATCAAGCGTGACAGTAAAAATGTTTTTTAATTTAATATAATTTTTTAACACACACACACTATATATATATATATACAGGTGCATCTCAATAAATTAGAATGTTGCGGAAAAGTTCATTTATTTCAGTAATTCAACTCAAATTGTGAAACTCGTGTATTAAATAAATTCAATGCACACAGACTGAAGTAGTTTAAGTCTTTGGTTCTTTTAATTGTGATGATTTTGGCTCACATTTAACAAAAACCCACCAATTCAACAAATTAGTATATATATATATATATATAATTTGTCAATATGGACTCATTTTAAAACCAACTATATAGTCCAGCATTCCTAGTCTGCTTATAGACCAAACTAAGTGTAGATCCTTATATACTGTAGTGTGACTTTTCAGTTTGTGGCAACAGCTGAAAGAGTGGCTATTAAAAACATCTCTTTCTCTCTCAGTGCCTCAAGGAATGAATTTGAACACCAAAGTGCTGTTATTAGCTGCTGCCTTCCTGCTGGTAAGTTGTCAACCACACACAGATGCTGCTATTTTATTAATATGTAACTGATTTATCATTTATCCCTTTCTGTTTGCAGAATCATATGTTTTTTGAGATGAGCTAAGTGGAAATGCTATAAAGCTTCAAGGACATGAAATACATCTGCTTCACCTGCTAACATCAGGTCTGAAGTGAAGTGTGAACCCAACAATCTAGAATTATGGTGACTTATAATAAGATGTTTCTATGACAACTGCAGGGAATGTAGATGGCTGATGCTTTTCTGAGCTAATTGCATCTGAACATGTGTACATCAGGAATCTCTGTACAGAGCCTCTCTACACCTCTGGACATTTGCACACTAAAACTGAACATATTTGATAGACAAATTTGAAAGGCCAACATGATAAAAAAAAATATATATATATATATTTTACACAATCTACTACATGCCTTCTAGTTCATACAATTTTAGCAAGTAAAAGGCCTTTTAGTATCATTCTAAATATATACACCTTTATGTCATGGTGCCCTAATTTTAGATTTACTGCTTTTATTAAGTAAACATAAAAATAACTTTGATGTTGTTAGTAATATTTCAAGATGAACACTTACTGGACTAAAGCAACTTAGGTTTACTTGATTATCCATACATAAGTTTTTTTTTAATCATGTTAAAATGTATCAAATATGATACAACAAACTTTTGAGTAACATTAATTTGTTCATCTCTCAATCATCATTGTATTGTATTGCATTAAATGTTTTGCCCCACAATAAAAACTAAAGCTTTGGTCATAAAAAAAGCATTTAAATATCATTTCACTAAGAAGTTATTGTTATTATCTGATATTATGCTTTTTATGTAAGTAGTGTTATACTGTTAAAAAGATTTTATTGATTTACATTACAAACTATCAGAATTGTTTCTTACTTTTTGGCCATAAAAAAATATAAGAAACTGAAGCAAAGTGCATATTTTTTCTCAGTTTGGGCCTCTGAATTTTCTCAAGTATGAACTCTGTATCATACACTATATGGATCATTAAAGCCTTATGTATCAAATATGATACTCAACAAAAAGACATAAGCAAACTTGTTAAAACATATATTTTTTCTAAAGTCTCATTAGTGTGTTCCATTAAAAGAAAAATATTTTCTTAATATTATTTTATGTAAGTCTTTACAGGGTTAAATGTTCAATGCACTCTTGTGTAATACAAAAAAATGCATACAAATATGGATGTTTTTCTGCATGTAATAAAGATTGAGGAAACTTTCTTTGTTCATAATTTAGCCCAGATTCTATTCCCAGTTAGAGCGACGCAAGAACTGTCAATTTTTCGGAGCCAAAATCATACCTACATGTGAAGTTCAGATAGCATTAACCGGGCTGTACATGTAATTACCATTCTTTAAATGACACAAGACTGAAATACTACCAAAACCAGATTCACACCACAGCTGAAAATTAGCAGCAGCTGCATAATCAACATTTATTGCTATGATCAATCATAATTAAAAACCTTTCCTTTTCCACTTTTTTATGTACCTCTAATACAGCTGTCCAGCACTGAATTTCAGGCAGAATAAAGCAGGTGTTGATACACAGCCCCATTAACAGATCAGTGTTTGTTAGTTATTTGAGTGATTTCTAAAACAGGGCTTGGAGTCCTATGAGTCACGTCTCCAGTGTGGTCTCCTCCAGCGGAGTGCCAGGATGTCGAGCGATCTTGAAAATCAGTGATTTGCCGGAGGCGAAGGCCAGGCACAGTGAAAGAGGCAGCGTGGTACCCATCCCTGACAGGGCACTGTCCTTTGGGTTTACACTCTCTCAACTCAGGAGAAATAAAAAGTTTGCCATTATAGAGCTCTCCGAATACGTTTAGAAATATACTTTTTTTGTACAACAGTTCTATTTTAAAACAACTCAACACTGTAGCTAAAATACTGCACTATAGTAAAATATCCCCATCAACCTGCAACCTCAATGTGACCTAATTCAGTTAAATGTGACTGTACTACACAAGGGCATGTTGTTGTTTTTCTTCTTGGAAAACAGTGGCAGTTCCCAGCCATTAGTTCATGTCACAGTGGCTGAACTATGTGGTCCCGCTGTGTCCCTCTGAGAGCTCCAGCTAACGACTGACTGGAAAACATTCGTTCACATGTTGATGATTTAGTTTCTTCTGTGAGAGTTTTCAGGTGATGTGGCGTTTGGATGATTATAAAAACAGAAGCCGTACATCTTCAATAGTAAACATTTTTCATGTTGACCCTTTTTTATGACGTCGCGTTCGTTTTTCTTTTAAAAACAGATCAATTCCTCGGAAACGTCATCTTCGGTGGGTAAAACATCTTGATAATCTAGATGGAGAAAAAAAGGTAGTGCTTTTACCCAGTGATGAACATGCTGGGAATGAATCTAAATATCATAATTAGAACTGTGCAGCTTCAGTGTGAGTGATTATGTGTCAGTCTTGAGTTTATACCCATCACACACTCTTCAGATGAAAAACTAGCGGCCTCCACTTGCGTTCACTAGACCATGGAAATCTTCCCAAGCCCTGGAAGATCACACACACAACATATGAATATTAATACTGTCAAATATATCAACACTACAAATAAAAACAATAAGAATGAGGGGGGGAAACTATACAATAATGCACAATTCTATTCTCAAGTAAACTGATACACAATCTTCACATTAATAAATCGGGAGTTTTTTTTAAATAATCAGAATATTTGAATATAGTAAAATCTTTTTTTGTAATTGTATTTGTAATATTTCCTTCATTTAGATGCAAAGCTGATGCACTTTATCTCACAGCTAAAATCTAGGGGGAAAATATATTAAACATATTATAGACCTAAATATGTATAATCTGACAAAAATTCTAAAATTATTTGAAATTATTTGACTCGTTTGATAAAAGTCGTATTACCTTCCATATAGTAAATGTATGAATTTATGGATAATTTTTCTAGTTTAAGAAGACAGTAGAACTTCTGACACATTTCCCCCCACTCTCCCCTATATAACTCATTGTAACTGACAGACAGTTTTTACCATTTAATATGACTTACACATAAAATACCATTCAAAATAATTGGAATAATTAGGATTTTTCAACATTAAAAAAAAAAAAAAAAAAGCCTCTTATGTTCACCAAGGCTGTGTTTATTTGATTAAAAGCAACTGAATTCTAATATATTTTAAAATGTAACTAATTCCTTTGTTTCAAAGCTGAATTTTCAGCATCATTACTCCAGTCTTCAGTGTCACAAGATCCTTCAGAAATCATTCTAATATGCTGATTTACTTCTCATTTATTATTATCATCAATGTTGAAGACAGTTGTGTTGCACAATATTTTTTGTGGAAACCATGTTACGTTTTTTGTTACAGGATTCCTTGATGAATAGAAAGTTCAAATGAACAGCATTTATGTAAAATAGAAATCTTTTGTAACATTATAAATACTGTCACTTTTTTGGACCATTATATTTATATATATATTATATTTAACCAATCCTTGCTGATTAAAAGTAGCAACTTCTTTCAAAAAAAAAAAAAATCTTACTGACCCCAAACTTCTGAATGGTAGTATACATACACATAAATATCTGAGTGTATTGTATAACTCACTTGATGCTGTCGGTGTGTGTTTTATACTCCATAATGGTATTAGGAGGCAGGTTGAGGACTCTGCGTAAAGTGTCTCTAATGCGAGCAGTGGTGGCCTGGTCACTGGCCGTCTTATTCCAGATAGAAATGATATCCTCCTTCAATCAAAAGCACACATTTTCATTACAATACAGAAAAACTATTGTTTACATTATAATAGCTCCACTTACGAACACAAAAAGAGCTGTCAATTTTCTTAATGAACAATTGCCATACTGCTTACTGCAAATGACACTGTATTCGATATGCTATTTTATAAAATAATATTTAGCAAATAGTAGGTTTTATTTGCATGCTATAAAAGAAACAAACTATATTGCAGGAAATATTGCAGTACCTGGAAGCGAACGGACACAACGGCCCCACAGATCTCCTCGCCCACCATGAACTGCTCGCCAAGCATGGCCAAAATCAGATTCTCCCAGCAGCGTGACGCCAGGCCTTTACGAAGCCGGATGATCCATTTACCTCCACTCTTATTAGCATCATCCTATAATGCAATACAATACAAATTCTATTATCTGTCATTAGGAAAAGAAGCATACATACATGTGAACTAAAAATCCTCACCTCCCACATGGGTTTGATTCCTTCCTTAAACAGGTGGAAATCGCTGTGACCAGTCAGATCACCCGGTCGGATCATGTGACTATAAAAACGCCAGAACTGCTCCACCTACAAACACAGGGCAGCTGTTGAACTGTCAATCATGTGATCATGTGACCTACAGTAACGCAGTCTAACTTCATCCCCCACTGTGCCTGTGTTTGAATCTTCAGTACGTGAGTCTGAATAAATATGTCAGTGTGAGTTTGTGTGTCTGTAGGTTACCGAAGCAAAGCTGCCGATCTGTTTAATGTTCTGTTCGTAGCTCTGTGTGCTGGCTGGCCGTCCTGGTGTGCGACGAGAATACCAGAACGAGTAGTTGTACTGAAGAGGGTGCTCACCGGCCCCTGGGACCGCCGCCTGAAGATATAGAGCAGCTCATAGTTATATGGAACAATCTATTATAATTTACACATGATTTCTTTCTGTCTGTCTATTCATTCAGTTTAAGTGATCTATCTATCTATACCTTTCTCTTGGTAGTGTTTGAGTCCTTCTCTTCTTCGTCATTTTTTTCCTTCTCCCCGTCTTTCGGTGAGCTGTTGTCCTGGTCGTGATCTCCACTGTCATCATCTTTCAGGCTTAAAAGAAGGCAAAACTGTCAATTCCACTCAGCCACAATATGCTATATTTATCACTGTGGCTTCAATCAGGGAAATAATATTTGCAGTGGCAATTATACAAAAAAGAAAAAAATAATCAAAACCATGTGTGTGATTGTGTGACCATTTATATATGACATAAAATCTTCTGCTCATCAAGGCTGCATACATTTGATCAAAAATATACAGTATGGTCAAATTTTATTACAATTAAAAAAACAACAACATTTCCCACTTAAATGTATTTTAAAATGTACTTTATTCCTGTGAAGGCAAAGCTGAATTTTTAGTAGTCATTGTTCCAGTCTTCAGTGTCATACGATCATTTGCTGCTAAAAAAATTCTTATTATTATGTTAAAACTGTTTTTGCTCTTCAACTGAAGACTAAAGAATTCAGATATGCCATCAAAGGAATAAAATATCTTCAAATAGAAATCCATTCTTTTAAATTGTTATATTTCAATATATAATATTTCTACTGTATTTTGATCAAATAAATGCAGCTTTGGTGAGCTTCGGCGATGTCTTTTAAAAACACTGAAAAATCGTAATTATTTGACAGGTTGTGCGTGTATATTATTTACTAACCAATTACTACTGTACATATAAAAAAACATTAACAGAAAGAGTACATTCAGTACGTTTTATGTTAGTGTCATTTTATACATTAGCTTTATAGATAGGAATATATGTTAAATTAGGTAATACAAGGTAGCTTTACAATGCACGCTTTTTTCAGTACCATGTTACACACTTTCATGATAGTACCACTGCCACGCATTTTTTGTAAGGGTAAGTTAATTACATTTCTGAGGATTGTTATAAAGGATGTTGTTATAAAATTCGACTTTATTACAGAGGAAAGAGGCCCTGTCTGAGTTTGCAGAGACAGACTGCACTACCTTATTTGACCCTGCGCTTATAATGGTCAGCGGTTGCGCACGAGAAGTTTACAAACATAATTACATTACACATGATTATACAGTAGTTTCGTTTCCACGTGCCATGTACAGTATAGCGTGTTTCGCTTCTGCACAACCCCTCGCGTGTTTATAACCAGCCTACACCGACACATGTCACTCCAGCAGGCTGCAGAGGAGAGTTGGAGCCCGGGTCGCAGAGCACCTGCCCCCGCTGCTCACACACACGCGTAACCGGTGATCCGTCCTCGGCCTGGAGGCCCTGCGCATGCAGAGCTGGGTCCAGAAGCGGTCATTTGCATGCTGCATTCACCGCGTGCATTAAAACACGATCCATCACAAAATCTTAGGAGTCCAATCATGCAACTAAACATGGTGACCACCCAACCCATGCCAAAGCTTCTAGACACACCTCTTTTCCTCCCCTCTCTCTCTTTTCTGTCTCTCTGAGTTAAAGAGACGTTTGAAACGCATGCATTTGCATTCACGCTCGACTAATCCCTGCTAACGTGCAGCGTCGTTGTGATTACTCACGCGTCAAATTTGTTGTTCATTATTTTCCAGGTGAGTGTCTGTCTCCGCTCTCGCGCCGACGGCAGCCCCGTCAATTCCGCAGCAGCGGCGGCGCGCGCTAGTGGTGGCGGCGGGCGCGCGCATCGCACCGTTGTGGGTGACGCGCGCGCTCTACACTTGGTGGATGTTTGTATTTTTGTAGCAAACAAAAGTGAGATAAACTGTTACCTTATCCTAGTCTAATAAACATGTTGGTGAATAGCTAATGTATAAATATTTTGTCTAAAACTCATCCATAAATGAAAAAGTAAACTTTTATCTATGTATTTTTCTATCTCTCTCTTTCTGTGTTTATACACACATACACATATGTTCTGGAAATAGAAGACATTGTTTAATAATAAAAATTACAGCTTAACTACTTTAATAATATTTAATAAATAAATAATGAATTAAGAATTTAATGGGGTCAAGTAATGTCAAGTTTCACAAGTTTAGATTTTTTTATATACATATATCTGACAAACAAATGACATTTTACTTTTTAAAAAATCTCTATATATTCTGTATTGAGAGATACTATATATGATACACTGGTACTGATATAATTTAATATGGAACTGATATAATATATATTTTTGTAATTATTAAGAATTTGGGGTCAAATAATGTTCGGTAAGCTAAGTCAATGGGGAATAGTAGTGCTGTCAAAAGATTAATCACAAATAATCGTGTTTTTGTTTACATAATATATGTGTGTGATGTGTATATTTATTATGTATATATAAATACACACACATGCATGTATATTTAATAAAAATATGTTATGTTTATATATTAAATATATTTATATGTAATATAAATTACATTAATATAAATATATACATGTAAATAATGTTTTTAAATATATTCTGTATGTGTGTGTATTTATATATTCTTAATCAATATACACAGTACACACACATATTATGTAAACAAAAACTTTTGGATGAGATTAATTGCGATTAATCTTTTGACAGCACTAAAAATTGTCTTTATAAATAAGATTGAATATAAATAACAATGAGTTGTTCATAGAAAAAAAGTTGTATAGACATCTCAATTATATGAGTGTAAAATAATTGTACACTCTTAAAAATGCTGGGTTAAATATAACCCAGCGCTGGGTTAAAAAGGGACAAACCCAGTTATTGGGTTGTTTTGATCCCAACCGCTGGGTCAAAACAACCCAATAGCTGGGTTTGTCCCTTTTTAACCCAGCATTTTTAAGAGTGTACATGTTTTAAGAATGTTTTGCAAAGCATTCAAACAAAGTAGGATTCAAGTATTTAAATACAAAATAATTCAATGAATATTGCCACACATGTAACAGACACATACATGGGGAAGAAAAGGGTCACCGCAGCGTATTTGCTTCACATAACGAGTCATTGTGTGGCGGCACCAGGCACTGGGTCAGGTTGGGCAGTGACGCTACAAGTTCGTCACCAGTGCGGCACTAACAGGCCTGCGGACCCTCACACACAGGCTATTAGTGCTCACAGAGGGGCCGACAGGGCAGCGACTGCGTGAGGGACTCCAACTCTGCGGCACACTTCAGAGAGAGCTGGAGCTTCAGTAGAGCTGACGATCCTCCCACTTATTCAATCTACCCAGTCTACCCTTCTTTTGGCCAATAAATCCCCCATCTTTATTCATCTTCTGCATACTTATTTTCTCTCTCTCTCAATATTTTCTAACAATTATTTTTATTACGTTTTTTCTTTTTGGTCAGTCTTTCACTGTAAATTTAAATATCATGATCAAGTATAAATCTGTGTGAATATAAAAGTGTTTATATTGAATAACCACATGGTAATAATGCTTGTTTTTGATATTCTAGCACTCAAAATGAAAGGTGCTTCTTAGTTGATTATTTTTGCTTTTTTTGCAACTTGGACAAATACCAGAAGATCATCATAAATATGTCATCCTTCATAATAAATAAAGTAATTCATAATAAATACTGTAAGTCTGAAATCAGTACACATTTATAGTACATTACGGAACACTTGTAATAAAAACAAAATATATTATAACTAATACTATAAAAGGTATAGTTCCAACTCAAAATTCTGAATAGTTGGCCACATTTAAAGCCACTGTAAATTTTGACTAGTCATTGTCTGAATGACAAGTCAACTAATTCTGTATAATTAGGACATACTGGGGTCACACGACCCTGATATGACATGTTTCTTAGGGAACGTTTGTTTGAAGAGTCAACCATTGTAACAAATTGCTAAACAGTATATACTATAATTTATCCACTGCTGGTGGGATTGGTAGCTGTTTGTGGTGAGTGATTTGCACCGATGGCTCCCATTAGGGTGGCCATCAGACTACTGTCCTGAGGATGGGGGGGGGGGGGG